TTGCAGCATGTTCCTTACTGGAATTATACTCGTCAGTTTAAAATGCAATTTTCCAGCATTAATCTGCATTAGCTGCACTGAATCTGGATGCCAGCACTCTGCATCTTAACTTCCGTATCAGTCACAATATTCTTTTCCGCAAATGAACGTGTTTTAAAGTGGGCGCACGCTGGATCTTAAATTGGCATCCCAAGTTAAGAGGACAAATAACACAGCACACCTGGAGAGTTGATAATAAGGGGCACTTGGGGAATACCAACTGTTGTGTTTGTGCACGGATAAGTTACATAAACAAGCCAATGTTCCCTTATCCAGCTCAACCCTATTTATAAATGTTCTCCTGCAGAAATATGTGCGTATTAAAACAGTTTCCACAGCTTTACTTTCTGGTCTAAACCTTGTCACATAAAATTAAATGTTCTTGTAAATTCAGAGGGATCAGAAATATAACCAAGTGGCAAGTCAGTGACCAGTCCATGTTTTTAAAGCGACTAACCAAAGATTGCTCAAGAACAACACTGTTACTAGAAAATACACCAGGATTTGCCCTCTGTTTACATGTATGCTTGATGTGTTTTCTAATCCACATGTACTTTTGATGCCTCCCTTTGGAAACAAAAAAGACCGTATTATTTAATGCATCTTTCCATCTGGGAAATCACTGTTAACATTACAGTAGGAGTGTAAAGAAGCCAGGCTTATTGTGATTTGAAGAGAGAGCGTACATTGCTTCATTATTCATACTAGTTTCTTCCATATCAATAAAAGCTGCTAAAATAACCCAAATGATTACCAATGGCATGTTACTGTTACGTACAAACTATAGTTACTTTGAATTGTTCTTGACTAACATGTACATTTTGGGATCTGTAAAAGGAAAATATTACAGAACTTCTGATTTGCCTATCGATCAACTGTAGGGAGACATGATGAAGAGGAAAAGCAAAAGAGAGTGTTCAAATTTACTTGTTTGTTCGAAGTCTTAATTTCTTAAGAATCCTGGCTTTGTGTGAGACGCAGTACAACTGATGTGTTCTCAGAGGATTTTCTTGGCAGGCGGAATTAAACTGTGGGATTCATTATCTCAGAAAATGAGACAGCTAACTTTTCTTGTTTGTAAGTGGAAATGGAAAAAATAGTTCCATTATTCTGAATTTGACATATAGTCTATCAATGTATATAACACTACACTTTGATTCTATTTTGGGATTCTACCAGGAATATACTTGTATTTATCTGGTATGTTTTTCTAAAGTTACTGTATGTTTCCTATGAACAGCGAAAGGTGGTTTAAAGATATTGCAGTTAAATAGAAACTAGCTGGGATTTGAGCACATCAGCAGTCGCTAGTTGTGACTCCTCATGTGCTCAGCTGAAGAGCAATGCTCTGCATGACAATAGCATATAGTAAAATAAATTAAAATAGATACGTGGACAAAGTCTCCATACTATGTAAAGAATGCAAGTTTTACAGGACAATATTGCACACCAGAAACAGTCCTCGCTGGCCTTTGTAAGAACATTTTGGATTTAAAAAAAATCCTTTACTGATGTTCTTGTCCCCAGTTCATGACCTTGATTTAAGGGATTTAACAGAAAGACAAGAGTTGGAAGGGACCTTGGGTCTTCGAGTCCAGCCCCTTCCTCAAACAGGAAACCCTATACCATAGTTCAATGAAATGGTTGTCCAATCCCTTCTCGAAAACCTCCAGTGTTGGAGCACCCAGCTGATTTTGTTAACTCCACTGCTAAGTTAACACAGACACACAATCCATTAGTCTTGAAATCTATGAATCACATTAAGAGAATGAGACAAAGCATCCCTGAAAAGATTTAAAGGGAGATAAAGAATAGGAGGGAAATCCTATATTAGCCCTTCATTTTCTTAAGGAGGTTTCAATACATTGCTTTCCTTTCTCTTTTTTTCCCATGTACGAAAAAGAAGGAACCTTGGAAAAGGTACAAAGAAGTAGAAGTCAAAGTTGGACAGGAGAATCAGAATAGAGCCGGAAGGGACCTTGGAGGTCATCAAGTCCAGCCCCCTACTCAAGCAGGAGCTCCTATACCATTTCAGACAAGTGACTGTCTAGACTCTTCTTGAAAACCTCCAGTGATGGAGCACCTACGACTTCGGGTGACAAGCTATTCCACTGGTTAATTAACCGAACAACAGAGTTGGAAGGGACCTTGGAGGTCTTCTAGTCCAACCCCCTGCTCAAGCAGGAGACAAATAACCATTTCAGATAGATGGCTGACCAGTCTCTTCTTATAAACCTCCAGTGATGAAGCACCCACAACTTCTGGTGGCAAGCCGTTCCACTGGTTCATTGTCCTCCCTGTTAGGCAATTTCTCCTGAATTCCAGGTTGCTTCTCTCCTTGATTAATTTCCATCCAT